ATATTCTCAAATTAAGTAAGTTTTTTACTTAATTTTCTTTTGTTTCTGATTTTTGGGGTTTTGACTATTGGGGTTTTGGTCTTTAAATCTTTATCTACAAATCCTAAAAATAATTCTGGGTTCTTCTTTACTGTGCTTGTTAAGGTTGTAGCTTTCGATTTGCTTTTAGGTTTATGCTTTGATTATCGAGATAATTGGGGTACTAGCAAATCCCTAATTTTGATTTTGATTTGATTTTTGATCCACAATCGAATCTCCAAATGCAAAAACAGCTTTTACAATTACGTTTTTAGGTATATGCAGTTAGCAAGAATGAATATTTCTTCTATTTCACCTTTAATTTCTCTGACCCATTTGAAAATATGCAGGAATCAGAAGTAATTTTTCTTGAATAGCCATCGCCTAAAGCTCTTTCTCAGTGTCGACTGCTCTTTCGCTGCTAAGTTGAAAACTTCTTTCTAAAATTTTAGACCTTTTGATGATTGCATGTTTGGTATTTCACTCAAAACCGTGAAATGTGATGTTAGGTGTTATGGGTCTTCATTTTTCTTGATATTTTTTTTTATTGTTCGATTTTCGGTTTAATCGGTTATTTGGTCGGTGTGCGGTTTACAAATTTTTAAATTTCGAACATACTTAATAGATGAACCTCATCTTTGTCAGCAAGTTCACACCAAATTTTTTCCCATTAAGTTGACAATAGGCAGGTCGTTGTGCTTAAAGGTCTGTTGTAGCTCATGTATTTGTCCTTTTGTAGAAGAAGTGTTTCTAACTGCCATAACGGAATGAAAAGGCACATAAAGAGATATTATCACTAGCAGTTCTAACCAAACAAGTGTTGGTACATGAATCAGATAGACACATTTGTATTGTGCTGATGCTTAATTATATGTTCTAATGCCTAGATAAAATGATGACTTGATAGTTCATAGTGGAAGTATTCTGATGTTGTTTGAGCTTGTAGCTGCATTATACTTGGGTTGTTTCGTAGTGATAAGTTGAAGCAATGATTTGAGAAGAAAAGGAGAAAGTGTTAATTCCTTTCTGTCGTTTGATCTCTGCTACAGACGCAGTGGACTCTCTTCTCTCTTACCTTCCTTCTACGTGCACTAACCTTAATTTTAATTTTTCTTGTATAATGATAAGATCTTACCCCTAATTGTGCCTTTGTTCGTACTAATTTTTTCTATATCATGTAGGAGGTTCAACATGACAGGAATAGGACGAGGCAAAGGTCGAGGTGGAACTGGACGTGGACGTGGCAATTCTGGAGCGACGTCTCAGCCACAATTGCAACTAAGGGGAAATACTAGAGCATCCCTAGAGACAGGAGAATCAAATAATCCTTGTCAAGAACCTATAGAGAAAGGAAAAATATAAAGCAACCCTTTGCAGAGACCTTCTGTAGATACAGTTTCATCAAGAAATTTTGACAGAAGTGTGTATCCTTCTCCAGAAGCTGAAAGTGATAGTGCAGGTTAGTTTTTTATTTTTCCCTTTAGTGTAACTACCTCCATTTGATGGTTTCTGCTGACTTTGTTTTAAATTGTCGAACAGTTTGAACTGTGGCTCCTGAACCTGAGTCATCTCAGTGTTGTTCACTTTACCATTACATAAGTGAGGGATATAGCCTCTGCATACTCCAACATCAGCATTTACATTTGCATGAACCGGATGAAAACCGATTAAACCAGGATTTAACCTTGTAACTGCTCCATTTTCAGTCATTAAATTACTTCTGCTCCTTTCATGGTTGTTGTTCAACAGCTCTACAATCTCAATTTGCCTTTTTTCCACAACCTTCTTAGACCGATGACTTCTATGCAGCTTAATTACAGATGACGAACCTGGAGCACCATTAAGGTTTGTTTTGCTACAAGGCTGAGGCGTTTCCTGTATGTGAATGCCTGTGAGTTGACAGAATATAATTTCAGCTAATAATTTGCATTGAGTTATTTGGAAACTTATAAAACACAACATTTAAACGAAAAGTGGGATATTCCTCATTGAACTCTACTTCAGCCAGGTGATATCTATTAAAACCAAGTGAGATGTAGCAAATACACATATAAAACACAGCCAAGTAGCTTAAACTAAAAGAGAAGTGGATAGCCACACTAATTAGACACTTTATCTGCAGGCATGAAAATACAGACAATTACTACACATATATATATTGGCCACATATATTATTTCTTAAATTGACTGGTACAAGTATCAATACTATACTTTGTCAGTATATTTTTATTCCTTTGCAGTTTCTTCCGGGAACAAAAAGAGAGGAAGAGGAAAATATAAATCTAAAACTGTAGATATTAAAACTAAGTACGGCGGAAAAATCACAATTACGATCCCATATGACATTGATAGAGCAGTAGGTGCTAGGGCAAGAGATATTGTTAATTACTGTGGTTTGATCACGAGGAGCACTATCTCATTCCGGGATGGGAATTGACAAAAGATTGCTTCAAAATATGGAGTAACAATGTGGTTAAAGGTTAAGGTAACAAGTTATTTTCAATATTGTGTTGGCTTCAAATTACATGGTTTATTATTGTAGTTAAAATCAATATAATGTTACATTTATATATGTTCAGGATAAGTTTGAAGTTCTCGATAGTGTGCGAGAGCATGTGTTGCCAGCCTTTGTCATCATTACTATGCAAAGGCTTTTAGAGCATGGAAAGCTCGATTGAGCAGTCACTACTCTCGCCACATTGCTGATGAAAATATATTATCTCATCGACCTGAAGATGTTGAGCTCGAGGACTGGAAATACCTAGTAGAGTATTTTGGAAGTTCTGAATTTAAGGTAACTTAATAATAGTGTTTGGTTCACTACTCTTTGAATAATGGTTTCATAATCTGTTGACTTAGTGCAGCCTGTAAACGAGAGAAATAGAAAGAACAGGGAAAAGCAGATAACTAAGCATACTTGTGGTACAAGGCCTTTTGCAGAAGTAGAGGAATCGACGGTGAAAATATATTTATTAGAGAGGAAGAGGCTAGTGTGTCTTCTGCTATGGCAACTGTGCGTCAAGAAATGCAAGCTGAGGTGAATCGAAAGTTGCAAGAAGAACGTGAACAAATGGCTGCCGAATTAAAAAGTAACATGGAACAAGAGTTGCAAAGGAAGTTGGAAGAGCAACTTGAGCACGTGAATGCGAAAGTAGACAACCGGATCAGTGTAGAAGTAGCCAAAAGGATTCAAGAACAACTGGCTGCTATCATGACTGGAATGCAACAGGTGATCTACTCTTAATGTTTCGGTACTCTTCCTTCCTTCTTGACTATTCTTCTTCTTTTCTTTTTGAAGTTCATATTTTAGCTAAGGTTTTTAGCTGAAATTTTCCTACAGTTGGATAGTTGTTCACATTATCACATTTATCTACTATATCTCATTATTGAGATGATGAGAGATTATATGATAGATTGATAAGGTAATATTTATTATAAGAAAATTTATTATAAGGTGATATTTGTAGTTATATTTATTATAAAAATCTTCTATTAAATGATCGTATATTAATACTGTGACGATCCGGCCAGCAGTCTTATGAGTTACTGCTCCGTTTTTCCCAATTTTGCTTCTTTATGCTTTGTTTATCTGTGTTATGTGGTATCGGGTTGGTCGGATCGAATCCGGAATGATTTTGGAAGGGTTTGAGACACTTAGTCTCTTTTAAGAAAGCTTAAGTTGGAAAAGTCAACCGGATGTTGACTTATGTGTTAGAGGGCTCGGATGTAAGTTCCGATGGTTCGGTTAGCTTCGGGAGGTGATTTGCGACTTAGGAGCATGATCGGAAGGAATTTTGGAGGTTCGTAGTAGATTTAGGCTTGAATTGACGAAGTTGATATTTTGGCGATTTCCGATTGGTAGGCGAGATTTTGATATAGGGATCGGAATGGAATTTCGAGAGTTGCAGTAGTTCCGTTGTGTGATTTGGGATGTGTGCGCAAAATTTCAGGTCATTCGGACGTGTTTTGGTTGAATTTTTGATTGAAAGCGTAATTTGGAAGATTTTAGGAAATTTGGCTTGAATCCGATATGTTTTGGTTGATTTAATGTTGTTTGAGGTGTTTTGATGATTGGAACAAGTTTGAATAAGATATTGGGATGTGTTTGTGCGTTTGGTTGAGGTTCCGGGGGCCTCGGGGTGATTTCAGATGGTTGACGGAGAGGTTGAGACTTGTGAAGTTGCAGAATCTCAGCTGCTTTTGGTATTTCCGCACCTGCAAATTGGAGACCGCAGGTGCAACGCCGCACGTGCGGAAGAGGAGCCGCAGAAGCGGATTTTGGAGGAATCGTCAGGAACCGCAGATGCGGTAGTGTGACCGCACCTGCGAAGGCACAGGTGTGGAGAGTTGACCGCAGATACGGATTGGGCCATTTAAGTGAGGAACCACAGAAGCGTTAATTTGGCCGCATGTGCGGTACCGCAGAAGCGGCTATGGGCTCGCAGATGCGGAAATCCCTGGCCAGAAGGTATATAATTCTTTCTTCGCGAATTTTTGCAAAATGCTCCATTTTTTAAGATGGGAAAGAGGCTAAGGCACAGGATTTCGAAAGGAATCAAAAGATATCAGTTGGGTAAGTCCCCTAAGCTTAATTACTTGGGTTTAAGATTACTTTTTCATTGTTTAATCGTGGTTTTAGTGGAGATTAAGGGTGAAAATTAAGGAAACTAGGGCTTGAAAAATTAGACCTTTAATTGGGGATTTGAAGGACCATTTGGGGTCGGATTTGAGAACTTTTGATATGTATGAACTCGTGGGGAGATAAGGAATCTATTGATGTAAAAATTATTGAATTTCGAGACGCGGGCTCGAGGGTTGAGTTTTAATAATTTCGGGATTAGTGTCGTATTTTGATTATTTTTGCTTGGGCTTCGTCCCCTTAGCATATTTTAACGTCCTCATTCTAATTTTGGATAGATTCCATACGAGTGGAGGCTGATTCGAGGGGCAAAGGTGTCGCGAACTAGAGATTTGACCGGTTCGAGGTGAGTAATGATTGTAAATGATGTTCTGAGGGTTTGAAATCCCGGATAACACATTGTAGTGCTATATTGAGGTGAGGCACACGCTGGATGACGAGCGTGGGGTCGTGCACTATTGGGGATTGTGACTTAGGCCGTCCCGAATGACTATTTTACCGCGTATTTGACTGAAATCTATTTGCTATCATCATGATTTGGGTTGAATGCCATATTTGGGCCTTGTGCCAACTATTTGAACCCTTCGGGAATTTTTATTGATATTTCCTCACTATTTTAACTTTATACTTGAACTCAGTCATGTTATTTTCCATTGTTTTCGTACTTAGCCATGTTTACTCAGTTTTAATACTTAAATGATATTTTTAAATAATGTTTGGACTAAGAAACACTGTTTTACTATTGCTCGTATGGCTTGTGAGGATTTTTGACTGAGTAAGGCCGAAGGCCTATGTTGTGAGGGAACATTTGATACTGATTATGAGCCCGAGGGCCTGAGATATGTACGCCGTGAGGTGGCTTGATTGATATGAGGCCGAGGGCCTAGTGATGACGCCACGAGGTGGCTTGATATTGCGCTTGGGCCATAAGGGGTCCCTCCAGGAGTTTGTACACCCCCAGTGAGCGCGGGTACCCATTGTGATGTGAGATTGAGCCCGATGGGCTGGTATTGTTCTATGTGATTGCCCGAGGGGCTGGTACTGTTCTGATATGTTGCCCGAGGGGCGAGCCTTTATGTGTTTACTTTTCATAATTGACTGTCAATCACCTGCTTAATTATTGAAAAAGGCTTTTCATGAAACTACGTTGAGTTAAAGGATTTTACCTATCTTTCACTGGTTTACTGATTTAAAATGGTTTTACTGCTTCATTATAGAATGCTTTCTGCCTTACGTGATTTCTTGCTTTCAGTCTTTATTTACATTTGTTACTCACTGAGTTGGAGTACTCACTTTACTCCTTGCATCCCTGTGTGTAGATTCAGGCGTTGTTGATCCTGCCAGTGCGAGTTGAGAGCTCTCGGCGGACATTCGGAGTTCACGAGGTAGCTGTTTGACGTCCGCAGACCCGTGTTTCTCCCTCTTTATCTTTTCTATCTCTTGTTAGACATTTTTAATATTTTGTAGACTCTTCAGACTTGTGTTAGGTTATATAGATGCTCATGACTAGTGACACCCCGGTATCAGGCTGTGTTGGGTTGTTCTTTCGCGTATTTATGATATTATCTGTTACTTTGGATTATTTTATCATGTTTCGACTATTTCTAAATGTTTAACTGTTAATAATTAGAAAAAAAGGAAGTGTCGGATGGCCTTGTCTTCACGAGAGGCGCCATCACGACCGGATCCGGGTTTGGGTCGTGACAAATACTATTTGAAATCTGCTAGTTGTGTAAATGAATATGTTATTTTTGTAATAAAACAACGCTAATATAATTTTTGAAAATAATTATATTACATTGACCCATAATGTTAATTTCTTTTTTTTTTTGTATTCCCACTGCTCGAATTTGAAACCTCTTGTTAAACATATGGAAGGATCACATCCATCGTATCACAAATGTCACTATTATTATTATTTTACCATTTTTTATATAGTCATCATTATCACCTACTAAAATATGTTACTCCGACTATTTCATATTGCATATTCAAAATACATCTGGATAGTTGTTACGCAGAACACTACTAAAAATTCGTTAAAAATCGACCAAGAAAAACCGACCAACTTTGATCAGTCAAAAAATCAGTCAAAAAACCGACCAACTTTGGTCGGTTTTTTAAAATATTTTAATTAATTTTTTTTTTTTACTTTCGTGCGAAATACAATTAAAGAGTATAAATAAAAAATAAGACAATCTTAAAACAAGATGCACCAATGATCTAGTGATAGAATAGTATCCTGCCACAGTAGACACCCCGGTTCGATTTCCAGATGGTGAATCTTTTGATTACATAATTAAAATACCGACCAACTTTGGTCGGTTTTTTTTTGCAATATTTTTTTTGAATTTAATTGACCGATCAACGTTGGTCGGTAATTTCCGACCAACGTTGGTCGGTATATTAAAACGACCATTAAAATACTATCCAAGCGTATTTGATCGCATTTTGGTCGGTAATTGGCCATAACTGTGGGGTCCATCCCATCAATTAAGGAAGTCTTTGTTCCTTTTGTTGATTGTTCAAAATTGGCAGCAAACATTTTTCTTCTGCATTGTCAAAAAGGGTAGGCTGCAGAAGGAAAATGTTAAATGTAGTAGGCATGAGAGAGAGAGAGGCTCCGCCTATAAAAGGAGAGTTTCGACTCTCATTTCTACACATCAAAAATCTCAGACAATACATCTGAGTGAGAAAGAGCAAGGTATTCCGTAGACTATAAGAAAATAGTTTGTGAAGAAAAATAGAGTGTGAGAGATATTGTAGTGAGGTGGAAAAAGCAAAAGAGTGTTCTTTCTTTTGAGGGTGTAGTGGTCTTAGGAGTATTTGTACTCGTTACTACACAGTGTAAAATTTCTCGCTATAGTGATATCAGTTGCTCCTCTTGGCTGTGGTTTTTCCCCTTATTCAGAAGGGTTCCATGTAAAATCTTGTTGTCCTTATTGCTGCATTTTTATTCTTGATGATTTAATCATAACTTAGTGTTCCGCGTTTATCACTAATGCCGTAAATATTATTTTTACGGGGTTTATTCCCAACAAGTGGTATCAGAGCCAATGTTCTTTCTGAGTATGCTCTGTGGTTGCAGCACAGTCTGAACTTCCACATCAGGAAAGAATTACTTTGGTCTCCTAATAAATAGTATTTGTATTTGTATTTGTGATAAACGATGGAAACCAACACTATTAGAATGGTTACTTTGAATGACACAAATTATGCAATTTGGAAGGGCAAAATGGAAGATTTGCTCTATGTCAAGAATTTTTATCAAGTTGTCTTTACCACTATAAAGCCTGATAATAAATCAGATGAAGAGTGGAATTTGTTACACAGGCAGGTTTGCAACTTTATTAGACAGTGGGTTGACGATAATGTTTTGAACCATATTTCTGGGGAGATACATGCTCAGACCCTATGGGAGCACCTTGAAAGTTTGTATGCTCGAAAAACTGAAAAAAAAACAAGATGTTTCTGATAAAGCAGATGTTGGGTTTAAAATACCATGATGGTTCCGCGATGACAGATCATCTGAATAATTTTTAGGGGATCATGAACCAGTTATCTGCTATGGACATTAAATTTGATGAAGAAATTCAAGGCTTGTTTCTAATTGGTTCCTTACCAGATTCTTGAGAAGTTCTTAAAACTTCATTATCAAATTCTGCTCCGGATGATGTGTTCTCTATGGATCTTGCCAAGAGCAGCCTTTTAAATGAAGAGATGAGAAGAAAATCTCAGGGTTCCTCCTCATCATATGTCTTGGTGACTGACTCTAGAGGGAGAAGCAGGAATCGGAGTTCTCAAAATAGAGAACATAATAGAAGCAAATCCAGAAGCAGACTTAAAGATATTGAGTGCTATCATTGCGGGAAGAAAGGGCACACAAAGAAGTTCTGCCGGATTTTGAAAAAGGAGAATAGAGACAAGGAAGAACAGAAAGAAGATGGCAATTGTGTGGCCACCATCACTACAAAAGATTTTGTTACTGTCCTTAATGCAGATCTGATAAATATTGCTTGTGATGAGTCAAGTTGGGTTGTGGATAGTGGTGCCGCATCTCATGTGACATCAAGGAAGGAATTTTTCTCATCCTATACTCAAGGTGACTTTGAAACTTTGAGTATGGGTAATGCGACTGTATCTAGGGTGGCTGGTGTTGGAATGATTTGTTTGGAAACTACTATTGGAACTAAACTAGTTTTAAACAATGTAAAACATGCACCTGATGTTCGTTTGCACTTGATCTCTGTTGGTGTTTTGGATGATGAGGGATATGTCAGTACCAATGGTGCTGGAAAGTGGAAGCTCACTAAGGGCTCCATGATTGTGGCTCGTGGGGAAAAGCGTCGTGGTCTATACTGGACTACGGCCTCTACCTGTGTTGATATGGTGAATGCCGTTGAGAGCCATAACTCTTCAACGTTATGGCATAAGAGGCTTAGCCACATTAGCGAGAAAGGACTAAATATTCTGGTCAAGAATAAATTGTTGTCAAATTTTAAAAGTTCAAAATTAGAAAAATGTGAGCACTGCTTGGCTGGAAAACAAAAAAAGAGTTTCTTTCCAGTCTCATCCTCCTTCAAGAAAGACAGAGTTGCTTGAGTTGGTGTATTCAGATTTATGTGGCCCAATGAAGACAAGAACTTTGGGTGGTGCACTTTATTTTGCTACCTTTATTGATGATTGTTCAAGGAAACTTTGGGTCTACATCTTGAAGACTAAAGACCAAGTGTTAGGTGTCTTTAAGCAGTTTCAGGCTTCAGTTGAAAGAGAAACTGGAAAGAAGCTGAAGTGTATTCGTACTGATAACGGTGGTGAATATTGTGGACCGTTTGACGAATACTGCAAACAACAGGGTATCAGACACCAGAAGACTCCTCCTAAGACTCCTCAGCTTAATGGTTTAGCAGAAAGGATGAACAAGACATTGATGGAAAGAGTCAGATGTTTGCTTTCTGAAGCAAAGTTGCCGAATTCCTTTTGGGGTGAGGCTTTGTTGACCGCCACACATGTTATTAATCTATGTCATGCAGTTGCTTTGCAAAGTGATGTCCAAATAGAGTTTGGTATGGCAAGGATGTTTCCTATGACCACTTGAAAGTTTTTGGTTGCAAAGCTTTTGTACATGTGCCTAAAGATGAGAGGTCAAAATTAAATGCTAAGACAAGGCAGTGCATCTTCATTGGTTATGGCCTTGATGAGTTTGGTTACAGTCTATATGATCCAATTGAGAAGAAGGTCGTGAGAAGCCGTGATGTTATCTTCGTGGAGGATCAAACCATTGAAGATATTAACAAAGTGGAGAAGCTAAAATCTCAAAGTTCTGAAGGTTTAGTTAATCTTGATCAAGTTCCTCATACACATACGGATGACGTTGGTGGGCTTAATGATGATGATGATGCCCAAAATCATATTCCAGATAAGCATACTGATGGTGATGGTGATAATAATGCTAATGTTGATGAGGTAGATGCTCCTACTCACGAAGCTGTGGACGAGTTAAATATTCCACTCAGGAGGTCTTCTAGACCTCGTACTCCTTCCTTCCGTTATTCACCCAATGAGTATGTATTACTCACTGATGGAGGAGAACCTGGATGTTATACGGAGGCCATAGAGGATGAGTACAAGGATCAAAGGATTGAAGCCATGCGAAATGAGATGAAATCTCTACATGAGAACCATACTTATGAGTTAGTGAAATTGCCTAAGGGCATGAGAGCTTTGAAAAACAAGTGGGTGTTCAAAGTTAAAGCTGAAGAACATAGTTTGAAGCCCAGATACAAAGCTAGATTGGTTTTCAAGGGATTTGGTCAAAGGAAAGGTATTGACTTCGACGAAATATTTTCTCCTGTCGTGAAAATGTCCTCCATTCAGACAGTTCTTGGTTTGACTGCTAGTCTTGATTTTTGAGATTGAGTAGCTGGAGGTGAAGACTGCTTTTCTTCACTGAAAATCTTGTATGCAAACTTAAGAAGAGTCTATACGGATTGAAGAAAGCTCTCAGACAGTGGTATAAGAAGTTTGAGTCTGTTATGGGGGAGCAAGGCTACAAGAAGACTTCTTTTGATCACTGTGTGTTTGTACAAAGATTTTCTGATGATGACTTTATCATCCTCTTGCTATATGTGGATGATATGTTGATTGTGGGTGTCGAGCCCCTTTTTTCCCTTCGCATAAATCGGGTTTATGACATTTTGGTATGGGACAACTCTTTCTTTTTAGGAAAGGGGTTTTGCAATTTTGAAGAGTCGTCACCTAACGATTTTAAGGTGCGTTAGGGCACCTATAGGGTTCATTTCTAACTATGTTTGATAACCAGAGACAGGGTAAAGGCTTGAAATTATCCTAAGGGGAAGGTGTTAGGCACGCCTCAGGATCCAGTAGTGTGGTTCCCAGCCAGCCAGTTTTTTTGTGAATTTGTACAATTAACCAATAAACAAGTATGACTCAAATAATAGGAGATTTAAGTTTAGATACACAAACGTAAGAAAACAACTAGTGAAAGGCGAAATTTTGAAAA